TCTCTCCTGCAGGCCTGATCACTTATAATTGCCCTCCCCTACCAGCCTGGTTGCCCCCAACTGCCCTCCCCTGCTGGCCTGGTCATCTCTAACTGCCATTCTCTGTTGGCCCGATCACCCACAACTGCCCTCCCCTGCTGGCCCTCTTGTGGCAGCCATCTTGTGACCACATGGGAATGGCCACCTTATGTGAGGGTATGAGAGTTAATTTGCATATAACCTCTTTATTATATAGGATGCTCTATTCTGTTACCCTGATCTGAAATTTATTTTAGATTTTGTTTAGAGTTAAATACATCCAATTCTCACAGTTAGTCCTTTTGTAGTAGTTTCTATAGTAAGCTCTTGGTTTGATGGCATTTGTCTCCTAATAGTTGCTTCAAGAAGGGCTCATGATTGCATCATTTCTATGTTCAGAACATTTGCCTCGAGCTTTTGTACCTTGAAAGGAAACTTGACTGCTACATAACCCTTGGTACCCACTTTCTTTCCTATAATGATGGTGAATTTATAATCTCCTAATTCACTGCTGGATATCTCAACTTTTACTATGTGGCTTTTCTTTTTTTAAGTTTTGCCAAAATTGGTCTCCATGAAAACTTCTAATAGAGTATCCTATGGTCTCTTCTATATCAAATTCTCTAAATAGTTCTCTTCTCCAGGATAAAAGAAACAAGTCACTGAAGGAAAGTTCTTAAGGTCAAAATATCTCCAAAGTACCTTTTAGTGAACTTAATGATTTGTTTATTTAGTTAGCTCATGTCATTGCATTTTCCTTGCTCTCCTTATGCCTTCCTCATAGTACTGTTTTAAAGCAAGTTAGAGTTATATCAGAGCTGGAAGGGCTCATTGACATCATCAGGTGCAAAGTCCTTTTCGGATGAAGAAACAGCCACAGGGAGGGGTCAAGGTAATGCCACTAACAGGAAGCCGAGTCTGAACTTGAACCCCAGTGATTTCCAGGCAGGAATCCTTTCCACTTCGCCGAGTCCTTTAAAAAATATAATGATCACTTTGTGGTGTGTGTGTGTGTGTGTGTGTGTGTGTGTGTGTGTGTGTGTGTGTTAAGAGTATTGAAGGTTGCCGAAACTGGTTTGGCTCAGTAGATAGAGCATCGGCCTGCAGACTGAAAGGTCCCGGGTTCGATTCCGGTCAAGGGCATGTACATTGGTTGAGGGTACATCCCCAGGAGGGGGTGTGCAGGAGGCAGCTGGTAGATGATTCTCTCTCATTGACGTTTCTAGCTCTCTATCCTTCTCCCTTCCTCCTCTCTGTAAAAATTCAATAAAATATATTTTAAAAAAAAAGAGTATTGAAGATCTACTCTCTTAATTATGTGAGGTGATCGATGTATTAACCTTACTGAGATAACAATTATATATATATATATATATATATATATATATATATATATATATGTAAAAAATCATCACATTGTATACTTTAAACATTCACAAAGTTATATGTCCATTATATCTCACTAACAATGGAAAGAATGTAATGATCAAAAATATTTATTCCCTTCATCTAAGAGGATTCACCTAATGTCTGCTTGAGAATTATAATTTCATTTCTTATTCCAAATATATAAGGAATGACACATGCAGGATAACTGTATTAGAGAACTTTCAGTGGGTTTGTTGTTCAGTTACATAAATTGTCACTTTCATTTTCTGTTTCTTGAAACTGGGAAACTTCAGATAAATGTAGAGTCAGTTTTCCTACTCCAAACTTCCTAAGCCATCATTTTGAAATCAAATTATGCAGCTTATGTTAAAACATAAGGGCCAGATTCTGTCTTTAAATACACCACCCACTCTCTAACAGCAGAATTTGGCCCTAAAAACCCATTAACAAATATTGTCATTAAACTAAAGAGCTAATTACTTTGGATTCAGACAGAATGAACAAATTCATAGCCCAACCCCAGCTGGTAGTAATAATGGTGAGACTAACCGTATGTGCACTGGAGATTTAAAGAACAAAGACATATTAACACTAATGTAACCAAACATACAAAATTATCCTCCAAATGGAGCAAACTGTTATAGTTAGAAAACTCTTGAAAACACATTGGTATTATCTGAGGCGAGAAATGAAGACTATTTCTGAGAAATTAATCATCATAATTTAAAATTACCAGTGCTTAATAAAGAGCAAACCTTGAGAAATTTATTCTGTTGCAATATTCCACAAATGAAGAATTACATATAAAAACCATTTGATCTAGTAATAGCTATCACTCTCATATTCAAACCAGTTTAATACTTTAAGATGAAAAGGCCTTGCTGTAAGGCTTTTTTAAATAACTGAGAATGAAACTACCTAATAGTTCTAAAAAAGTGAATTAACCAGATAATTGAATATTTTCAAAACCCTTAAAATATGTTGAAATTACATTAAGAATACACACTTCAGCCCTAGATGGTGTGCTCAGTGGCTAGAGTATTGGCCTGAGACTTCAAGGGTCTCAGGTTCAATTTTGGTCCTGAAGACATGCACCTAGGTTGCAGGTTCCCCACCCTGGTTGGGGCACGTTGGGGAGGCAACCAATTGATGTAGCTGTCTTTTGTTATATATGTGTGATTTGATATACATATATATATATATATATATAACAAAATTGCTATCTCAATAAGGTTAGTTTAATACATTGATGTTTCTCTCTCTCGCTCTTCTCTCCCCCTCCTCCCTCCCTTCCACTCTCTCTGAAATAAATGGAAAAAATGTCCTCCAAAGTAAGGATTAACAAAATAATAATACATACATACATACATACTTTAGAAAAAGTTTTACAAACCCTGAGCACTAATAAAAATCAACCATAGTTTCATCAATTGAGCATAACCATTAATAATGTTTTGGTGTTTATTCCTTCAATTTTTCTTCCTGTGCTTCTATAGCTTTTTAAATATGGTTTTATAACTTGTTTTCATATAAAGTATATTATGAGCATTTCCCATGTCAATAATTATACTTTTTGCACATAAATTTTAATTACTTCCCAGCTTCTTAAATTGAGAATAATAAACCCATTTTAATCTTTTAGGCTATCTCACAAATGTCATTATTATACTGTTTCATAATAACACTGATGCTCCCCAGAGGTTCTTACATATTTAAATCTCCTTTCTCCCTACACTCAATGGTCCCAGATGGCTCTACTGTTCAAAAGCTGTATCTTACTTTCAACTCTATTTCCCCCTCAATATCAGATTTCCAGAAAAAGCTGACCAGCCTGAAATACACCTACATTTTATGTTTTCATTTCTTAATTAATGACATGGAAGATGACCTACTGATTACTAAAAAAAGCAAAAACAAAACAAAACAAAAAACATAACAGTAATTGTTATGTTTTTTTTCTGAAATTGAAATAATACAGATTTGTACTAATTTAAGTCTAATTTGGAAACTTAATTGAATCACACACTTGTGTACTATATACTTGAAGATTTTATGATATTTTGTAGCACATATTTTAGGGTTTATCATTAGATATGGCAATCTTACTATTAAGAACAATTCTGACAACAATTACATGTGAAAATTTATTATCATAGTTGACCCAATTATGTAAATCCCTAATTTTGATTACTTAAAAAAAATGCTTTCTTATTTTATGCATATGACTATATTAATTTCTTTTAAATTGTTGAATAGATAATATGTGTAGCTAACTGGCACTATAAGGATATACTTCTTTTTTATTAAGGCTTTACTTTTACCTTTGGATATTTTATGAACAAAAAATTCTACACAGTATGAACAAGGGCACACAATGACTGATAAGGAGAGAGAAGAAAAGGTCTATGAGCTAGATATCCAATCAAAGGAGTTTAATTAAAAAGTTTACTTTTTACTATAAAAATAATATCATATTGTACTTATAAGGAGTCATCACAATTTAAGATCTGAATATGTCCCTACTAATCACTTCTTCTCAATGGAATTAAAAAGCAAACATTTTATAAACTTAAAATTGAAAATAATAGAAACAAAGGTGCTAAATGAGATATAGAAAACAGAAATACAAATGTGTGATATTCAATAAATGTTCTTGTAACTTATAAATACACCATATGCTTTATAAGTTTTTATCTGCAAAGGAAGAGTAGCTAACTATGTATTAAGTAGATCTGTTCTTTAAAAATCTATGGCTGAGTTTTCAATATGAAGAGGGAAAAAACCCTCAAAAATGTAGAAATGCTTAGCCAACCCTGGCAAGAACTCATTATTTTCAATGTGTAGTTATTTACTGGGATTTGATCAATAGCCATAAACATCTGCATAAATCACAACATTGCAGAGAATAGAGACACAAGAAGAGACCAGTGGCAGGACTGTCACCCTGAGAAAGAAATGGGGGCACCTGGGAATGAGCTCATTGTACTGAGTCTTTAAAAATAAGAATCCACCTTGAGAGGGTTATAAAGGAAGCACTCCTTCAGCCCCTCTGTGCTAAGGGCACTCCTTTCTTATTTGTTCTTGTGACTGAAGGAAACAACATAAAACCCCATTTAATATAACTCATTGTTTCTCACTTTCATCAGGATCATGTGGGGGTGGGTAGCTGTAAAAATGCAGATTGTCGGGCCACCTCCCAGACCTGGTGAATCTCTTTGTGAAACATGCCCGAACGTACACATGGGGGTAGGGATCAGCATGTGTACGTTCGGGCTCCCCCCACCCCCAGGTGACTCTTATGCACATTTAGATTTGAGGAACAAAACAGGGTCTCATCACTACTTTGTTCAAAACCAATGATCAGATACCAAGATCACCACTGTGCCTTGCTTGTATGTACATTTACAGGCCATATAACAACTTTTAAACTTTGTAGTTTACTTCCCTCTTTTGTGTGGAACTATACATCGCTAGCTGTTTTCTCATAGTTCATAACTTTCACTTTTGTGTATTGTATTAACATACATTAAATATTACTTTCGATGTAACTAAGCATGACATGAGAATGTGAGTCACTTCCAGACATCACTTACCTTAAAATCTTTATGCTTATTCAGAAAGTTCTGGATATATATGGTGGAAATCTTCAAGAAGAAGATATGAAGCGAGTCCTCTGTTTAATTTCCAAAAATTTCAAGGCTGGACAAGGAGACTCCTTAGATGGACACCAGAAATGCCATTGAGAAGAGAAGACGAGAGGCCTCTGGGCACCTGGTTATCTCTGAACAGAATAGAAAAACAAGTAGTCGGTTACCTGAGATTCAGGGCCTCTGTTGTAGAGGTTATTTTCAGTAAACGAGCAGTGTTACTAAATTTAAACTTGGCCTGGGTTTGCTGCTGCCTGATTTAGCAGTTGTCATTTAAAATTTCATGTCATTGTGAAGTCAGAATTGCACGATGCCGCTGCCTGCAGAAGATTCTGGACGAATTCATATAGCTTTAATTGACGATTCCCACCCCCCCAAAGATTGCATCAAGCGATGTAATTACTCATTTTATTTTTGATATGCAGGTGCTACATTTTGGTGCTGAATTCTTAGGTCAAGGTTGATGAGATCTCTTGGAAATATATTCTTACAGGAGACTATCTCACCTCATAAGACGATAAAACATAATACCTTTACTAAATCCCCATGGAATCATCTGCTACTTTTGCTATATTTTCTTTCACATGGGCAATGCTTGCCAAGGTAATTAGACATGAATGAAAATAATATCCTATCTAGTCAATATGTTGCTTACTCAGAGAAACCAAAATTCTAGCATCTTTGTTGAAGAAGTTAAGATGTGGTTAATGGAAAAAAAGAATAAAATATCTATTTTTAAAATTGGTGATCAGTCATGCAAATATTCTCTTAAACGGTAGAGGAAGCAACACATACAGATAAATACAAACTCAAACACAAAACACCAAGTGTCACACACATGCAAGGACAGAGTACACTGTGAAACAACAATGGAAGACACTACAGCTTGGCTGCCTAAAAACATTCTCAGTTTTCTTCTACAATATTTCTTTTAAAAGATATATTGTATTGATTTTTTACAGAGAGGAAGAGAGAGGGATAGAGGGTTAGAAGCATTGATGAGAGAGAAACATAGATTAGCTGCCTCCTGCACACCCCCTCTTGGCAATGTGCCTGCAACCAAGGTACATGCCCTTGACTGGAATTGATCCTGGGACCCTTCAGTCCACAGGCCGACACTCTATCCACTGAGCCAAACCGGCTATGGCAGCTTTCTTCTTTTTTGATATATCTCACAAATACAGAAAAAGAAATCAGCTGTCCACTTTCCCAGTGTTCCTTTCTTCTTATAGTGTATGGACCAGAATGGGGTTACATGAGTAGGCCTGTTCGGGTTGGTATTTCTGTAACTGGCAAGAATAACAACAACAACAAAAAACCTTTGTAATTTATTTATTTATTTTTATTGTGTATCTCCTATTTCATTCATTTCTATTTCTCTTTGTTCCTAAGTCCACCTTTTTGTCATGATTGGGCCCTCTTCCCTTCTACTTTTCCAGGTTAATTTCCCTAGAATAAAGTGACCATTTCTCCCTCTTTTTAAAAATGTATTTTATTATTGAATATTACACCTGTCCCTCACTTACCCTTTTGCCCTCCTCCAACTATTTCTTTTTAAATACCTTCATTTAAAATATATATATTTCTATTGATTTCGGAGGGAAAAGGAGATGGAGCCCCACTCTGGGGATCGAGCCTGTGCCCTAACCAGAATGAAACCATGACCTCTTGGTTCATAGGTTGTTGCTCAAACACTGAGCCATGGTTACCAGTCATCCCTCATTTTTTAAATACTCAGAATTAAGCAGAATGCTTAGCACATAGTAGGCATTCAATAAATATTTGATAAATGAATGTATAATTCCTTTGCAACAACTTTTGAACATAAACCATTTTGTAATTTTATTTTTTCTGTATACTTTATTTTCTGAATTACTTATAAGCCCACTGAAGGCAAAGAAATATCAGATTTCTTTGTATCCCATTGCAGGATGCTATATTGTACTGATACTAACATTTCTACTTCGGTTTGTTTTTGAAGGCAGAAGTTCATTCTCACAATAGAATAAGTTATCACTTACCTATAAGATTAAATAAAGAAGGGGAAATATATTATTATGCTATCAAAATGTAAGTTAAAAATAGGAAACTTGTTTATGATCACAATTCTATAGAATTTGCACTCAGTTATACAGGAGCTGTTCTGCACGACATGAATTTTCAGATGGGCCTTGAGTTATGTGGACAAACAGTGTTTGTTTCGTTTTTTTACTGTCATATTTTCAAATGTTTTATATTTTTCTTTAGAAATCTTTTCTCCTTGAAACATATAAGCAAAAATTCAATACTTTAAGTTATTAACAGTGGACATTTTTTGAGTAGAAACTGATTATTTTGAAAAATAGTTACCCTAAGTACAAACTAATTCCTAGTTATTGGATATTTACCTGAACAAAGCAAGAAGAACTTCAGAAAGCCAAAGGTAGGCATGTAATTTTAGCCTATGCTCTATACTGACATTACCCAAAATAAAAGAAATGTTTCTTAGAGTAGCCTAAAATAAGAACATACGCTGGGGGCCTGAAAGCAATGAAGCTGTGGGACTGTGAGTGACTGGGCTAGCCTGGAGGACACAGGGATATATTTCACAGCCACTGCGGACTGGGTTACTATGGCCAGATGTTTCCCAAGTTGGAGAATGAGAGAATTATGACGGAAAAAAATCTAAAAGGAAGAGAGGCCAGGAAATGTAAGAGTAGACAATACAAAGTTTGTGCCTGAATAAACGTCTTGAGCAGGTTTAACCTTTTACTTAAAAAGTAGTTGAAGTTTGCCTAAGGCATATTTATAGAAGAGATCATTGAATTTGGGTTTCTATAGACCTGTTGTTCCACTATAAATATGTCCTTGTTTTCTCAGGGTATGTAATCCGTTAGGAAGTTTGTAAAACTTAAAAAGATAAAAAAAAAAAAAAATGGAAGGAAAGAAATAAAAAAAAGGAACCCCGCTACAAGAACTGCATTTCAAGAATGACCATTAATAGTTGTATTAAAAACCAGAGAGTAAGCTCTTTTATAATTAGAGTTTTAAAAGGTATTTTAGGCATCTAGTGATTTGTGATTTAATCTTCAACTGCTTTTCAAGCAAAATAAGAAATCCCACCAGGGTATAGTCATTATTTCTTTTCCCTCCCAGTACTTAAACTCCGAGGAATAAGCTAACGTAGAACTGTTTACTTTGTTCCTCTCAATATAAGTAAAAAGTAACATTAGCTGCATGGTGGAAGGACAGATTATTATGCTGTGTCTTTATTCATGCTTCTTTTCTGTTTAAGGGGAAACATGATTTTCAGGTGTATATTTAACTTGCCAAATTGTTTCATTTTGCTTGTTAATATTTGAATCTATTGACAAGATTGTGTTTGCCTCTTTTTAATAAAATTGACTTATGTTCTATAAGTATAGTTCAAACCTTTTGTATTTATTTAAAAAAATGATTTTTAAAGTTAAGAGTATGACCTAGCCAGCATGCTCAGTGGTTGGGTATTGACCTATGGGTTAGATGCCACTTTACCTAGTCCCAGTTTGGAGCAATTTTCATAACAGTCTAGTACTAATTTCTTTTGTTTAGTTTGGACTCTTAGAACTTTCCCTTGATACCATTAATGGAAGGAATCATGCTTCATAAATTTTTATGTCATATATTGGGTAGATTGAGAAAAAGTAAACACGATGCTATGCAGTAGTGTAAATGTATGAATTTCCTACATTTCTCAGGGTAGGTGACCTTGCCTTTCACCAATAATAAGTTAGTGTTTGATTGTTGTGAAGAATTCCTGAAACATATTTATAACTTGTCATTTTATTTGAATCAAGGAGACATCTCATATCATTTTAGCATAGGTAGACCTATTATTAAAGTCATCATATAAAGTATGTGTAACTCATTTCCTGAGAAACATTCTGAGAAAACAGCGCTGATAACATGGCCCATTGTTAACAGAGTGGAAGACAGAGATAGTTAAACATTTCCTGTTCTTTGACACCTATCTTTTCTGTATGTATATGTCTGTTGAGGCCATCAGAGTCTAAAATATTTCAATTCAGCATAAAATTGCAGTACCGATTGTTATGTGGCACATATTTTATCTTGTGGAGAGATGGAAAGCGTATCTAAATGCATCATGCCTGTGCTCAGATGTAATGCAAATTTTCTACCTTGCCAGTGCCAGAAATAAATGAAAACGATAGTAGATAAAAAGCTAGAAACATTTTTCTCTTTAGCACTCAGGCAAAATTTTGTATATAGTGAGCATCATCATGCCTTAAGCATCCTTGGTGAGCCAAACATTCTACTGCGGATGGAATGTTGGAGGGATAGCTCCTACCTTAAACTCTTATTAATCAAAAGACAATAAAATACAGTTTAAAGTAGTTGGGAATAAAGATTTAACTAAGAAAAAACTCATTAAGTACAAGGATATGCTATGAATTATAAAGAGAACTATATTCATTTACACAATCTTTCAAACTATGACAAGTCTTTAATAAGGACTTAGTTACCTAATTAGATAGTTGAATTGTGTGTCTATGTTTATAAGTTGGTGTTATCTTATGTAAATTGTGTATGATTTGTAATAATTATCACCATAGTGAAAAGAATAGAGAAATTCATGTTTCAATGATCAGTTTCTGTAAAGACCTGAAAAAACATGCTCATAGCAAAACCCAGGCTTTACAGTGGCCTGAGAGAAATAATTTCTCCCTAAATGGTTTTAGTTTTTCTATCCATATGAAAGGAAGTAGAACCAAATCAGGAGTCTTTAAACCTTGGCTGTTCTTTTGAATATACCTGGGTTTAAAAAAAAGGAAGATGCAGGTATCTCTGACACTAATCTTGAAACTGGAATAGGTTATCTTTGGGAGGGAAGGATATACAGCATAAGTACTAAGTATGTTAAGATTGGAGCTCCATCTCCTTTCTTTGATACTTCTCTGTGCAGGCCACAGGTAAGAGGCTAAAGTTAGGGTTTGGAATTACCGTGTTTCCCCGAAAATAAGACATCCTCCGAAAATAAGACCTAGCACAATTTTGGGAGAAAAAATTAAATCTAAGATACTTATTTTCGGGGAAACAGGGTAGGAGATGAGAACTGTGGCCTTATTTTGTTCCCTTTCCTTAGCTCTGGCCTTTG